CCAGCTGTCAAGGGCTGTTGAATTCAAAGGACGAAGCCCTGCTTCTGAGGATGGATTGATGCCACGGTGCACACGGTCTTGTAAAGCCAGCACCAAAGCTACCTTGAGAGCAGGAGCCCATGCTGCCCACTGCTTGGAGTCATTGCACCTCTCTTGCATCGTCATCTCACGGCGGTCTTGAGGTGGACCTTCAGGAGCGATGCCACGTGGTGGTCCACGGAGCTCATTCAGCACCTGAATGTCTCGAAGGCCAGCCACTGCCAAAGTAGTTGGCTTCTTCTTCGAGTGGCCCATCGGACCTTGGTCAAAGTGAAGCAACGTGACCTCATAGATCCGGGCAAATGCTTGCCACTCCACAGTACGCCAGACCGACATGAACTGCTTCGCCTGCACTTCCGCCTCTCGTCTATACCTTGCTGGGTCTTCAGGCTGCTCTACGGCCAATGCCGTTTGAGGTTCATTTGGGAGACGGACCTCTTCACATAAGATGTACAGTGCCAGCATCCTGAACCATAAAACACTGTCGCCCACCACCAACTCCAAATCCGACGAAGACAGAGATGGCACACCATAGGGAACTGCTCTGTTCTCAAGATGCCTGGCCCCCCATCATCCTGATACCGAAGGGCCGAGACAGTTCGACACGGTGGACCTCCCACCACGGCCTTAACACGGCCTGATGCAGCCAGTGCGAGCAGGTACATGAAGACATCGTTGTCACGCAAGTCTGCGGGACTGTCCGCTTGAAGGTCAACACACAGAACCTCAACACCATCCTGCTGCAAAGTCTTCTCCCAGTATTTGGTGTCCTGGCCTGAAAACAGATGCACCACAATCTGCTTGGCGCGTTCCAGCTTCCTTCGCCTTCTCCGGTTCCAAGGGAGCAGATGACCATCAAATCCTTGGGACAACTGAGCCATGTCCGGAACGACCTTCATCAAGATATCGTCCGGTAACAAAGGAAACATTGACTTCAGCTTCACCGTCAATGCGAGCTCCGTTGAATCACCCAGCGAGCTCAACTCCCCCGGCTCAGGGTTCTCCAGCAACGTCTTCACCATCAGGGCTTTCTTGACGAGGTGAACTTGGCGTTGCTCAAGCCGGTCAATCATCTCACTACCCAAGGTACGAGAGACCATAGGGCATCCATGCTGGAGCGTCACAGCAAGCTCCTGACCTCGCTCATCCCGAAGTCCACATTGAACTCCCTTCCACTCAACCTTATAGCCGAGCTCAGCAATACCACCCATAGGGACGATCCACGACTGGCCCAAAGCCGCATCACGGGGATCCGAAAGGAGCACTTTTGAGGAAGGCTTCAATCTCAACTTGGACGTGACCCCGTCAGCCAACGTGACCTGTGTAGGTGCAGCTTCTTGCCATTCTTCTAAATCTTTTGCAGGGAGATGCACCTGAATCGAGCAAAACCAGATCACCAGCATCATGCTCCAACTGGCTGAGCTTGATCACACGCACCTGTGGCACTCGGAGGGACTTCAAAAGCTTAGTCGCTTCCTGAAGGAGGGCCTCGCTTGTTGTTGAGGTAGCCCCAGTTTCACCTCCCTTCGATGCCTCATTGGACTGCACCTCCCCCACTTTGCCCTCAGACGAACTGACCTCCATCTCCTGTATCTTGATGGGAGCCGTAGTAGAAGCAGTGGAAGCATAAGCAGTTGACGACGACAATTTTGAAGAGCCTTTGGATGAGCCCTTTCCTCCCCCTGAGCCCGGACCGGGCTCATTGGTGTGGTTGCCCTCCTTGGTGTCCTTGACTGGAGATGGCTTCTGCTGAGACTTCAGCTTACATTCCGTTTTGCGATGATCCTTGCCACCGCAAATCCAGCATCGAGAGTTCTTGTCTTCGATGCCTTCCCACGAATGGGACCACTTGCAGCTTTTGCCAGCCTTGCAACCAGTATCAGACCGAAAGTAGCGGCAGGGCACTGCCGAAGATGAGGAACTTGTCGACCCACCTTTGCCTTTGTCACCTGCAGACTGGCCCGTGGCTTGTGCCTTGGACGGAACTTCCAGCTGCTTGACCTTAGCAGGTGAGGTTGTACTAGATGAAGGACCCATCAACGACAGTGTTTCCGCCTCCGCCAACAAACATTGACTGAACCGCCAAATGCTTTGATGGATAGGCTGTTGATCGATGGCCAACTGCAGACGGCTTTGTGCCAGCCGAAAAGATGCTTGGGCATCTAACGAAGCCACCAACACACAAGCAGGTTCCAGCGCTTTCAACAGCAGAGTGCCGTCCGGCAACACAGCGTCCACCTCCTGAGCTCTGGCATAGTGACGGCGCCATGACCGAAGAGCCGCCGCCAGATCTGTAGCCCCTGAAGCTGGATCCAACGTGGTCAACTTGGAAAGCAAGATGGCCTTTTCCCCAGAACCACCAGGCTGATACCTGACCATGAGGCGGTACAACAAGGCTGTTGATGTCAGTTCCCTTGCTGTTATCAGTGCTTGCTGCTGATCTGCTGGGATGGCGCGAAGCAACAGACTCACTCCCCGCTGCTCAGTCCTCCGATAGCACCCATCCAGCAGCTCATCCGGCAACCGAGGAGCAATTTGAACCCGCTCCAAAGGTGAAGAAGTCTTCCACCTGTCATAGTAACACTGCGCCTCCCGCAGCGTGAGGTTCCACCACCGTGAACTGACGGAGGACAGGTCTCTCATCACAGGGCCACAAACGGCCAACCAGTCACCCAGCTCGATTGGCGAGGCATTCGATGCAAGCTCCGCCAACTCGGCCTTGCTGTTGCCGACACCTTCATTCCACGGCAGTGACATTGGGTTCTGGCCACCTTCTTGACGCCAGCGGCCATACTGCTTGTCATCCGGCGGTTCCGGACTATGATGCACACCAACATGCCCTTGATGACAAACACCGTCACGAACATGTTCTTTACCTACCCCAGGTGCACGATCCCGACCACCTCCCTGGAGCTCCCGACCACCGCCCTGAAGCTCCTGACCAAAAGGCCCAAAACCATCGGCTGCCGAAGTGGGCGGCACCGATTGCGACCAGGCCGACCTCGACCACCCCACTTCCTTCATTTGGCCAAGCGACAATTTGAGCTCAGCCAGTTCGCGCTCCAAACGATCGGCGCGATCATCCCTCACGCCACACGGCCGCGGCACAAAGACCTGCCCTTCTCGCATGCTGAGAGGGACCCATCGCGAATCACCGCGCGGCTGGAAATCCAGCATCTCATAGCCCTGCAGCATACTAATGTCTGCCGAGTTGCTTGAAGGAAACGGTGGAAGCGGTACATCAGGAGGAGGTCCATCTGGTACTTGAGTTCCATTGGGGGTGAACTTTGCTCCCTGTTGTAGCCGTCTGTAGCCGTCGAACTGGGCTACGTCCCCTTGGAGTGCGGGGTGGTGGGTCTTTGGGAGGTTCACGAGGAAGATCCCCTTGTACATGACCTTGTACATGTGACCCATGAGGCTCATGAAGATGACCATCCAAACCAGAAGGGCCACCAACAGAAACGTGGGAATGAGAACCAGGTGCTAAATTGGAGCTACCCCCACCACCATCAACTTCTCCCCCCACACCATCGACAGTTTCCCATGAAGATGGCGTGGACATAGGTTCCAAGGAGGTCTTAGCTGGTGGATTCCTTAGTCGCTCCAGCTCCGCCATAAGTTGAGCATTCTGCTCTTGCAACAAGATCACCATTTCGGCTTCCAATGCCCTCTGCAGCCCATCTCGTGCTTCACGATCTTGCTGCGTCGGATGCGTCGGTGGCACCGGACCCATCGTTTCGGTCAAGCCACGACCAGACCGGCTGCCCTCCTCACCACTAGGGGGCATTGCGCCTTCGGACTTTTTCACCTTGGACTGGCCTCCTCGGCCTTCAACACCACTTCTGTAGCTCGGGGGTGTGTCAAACAAGCCGCTGACATTCAAACCACCAGGATGCGCCTCACCGCGCCCCTTTCCCGATCTCAGAGCCCCGATGTCCTTGTCCTGCACTGGGTCGGTGTCAAAGTCCCCTTCCAGATCCGGGACTGGCAAGTCCTCAGGCCGCCGCTGGCGCAACTCGGCCTCCAACTTCAATCGCTCTGACCACCACGGATTCGCCACCATGGGCATCGCGCGCCGGGCTATTTTGGGCTCATAACCCTCGAAAGGCAAAAGGCACACTGAAGCACCTTTTCTCAGCTCGAACAAGAAATGCCTCCATATTGGGCATACATGGTACTCACATCACTTCACAGAGGGAGAAATTGACAAAAGAAGTTAAGAGACATTGAATGACTTTAAACTGGAGATATCATCATCGTCAGTTGTTGATGAGCAGAAGTACCACTGTTAATCGATAAGTTTTCCTTGTGTGGAAGCGCTTCCGTGCAGTCATACCCTAATCATGCCATAGATAGTTCAAAATTTTCCATTGATAGTTCAAATTGTTTGGACTGGTTGTAGGGCAGTGTCGCAGCAAAACCGCAGGTTGTTGCGTCGATTTTGAGGGGAACCTGTCGATTTATGTATTTCTTTCTTCGTGGCAAGTGATGTTGGCGTTGCTGCACCAACACGACATGGATATGGAACTAGAAGTTTTACTGTTTTACAAGAAGAAAACCCGTTTCTGATAAAGACTTACCACTCTAAACACAACGGGCATGTATAATTTGTCTACTGGGAAATATTGGGACCCTTTCTCCACAATGCCATACATTTTCCTAGAACATCAACCTGTCTCAACTTGAGCTGATTCCCCTTTCCTCAGGACACAGCTCTTGGTAGCGCAAGCCACTGGGCATTCGATGAGCAAACAAATGTGATAGTCAAACAAGTATAGAAACGCAACAGGCAAATCTTCCGTCCACTGCGCAAGTTGAAGTGATTATGTTGAACCTGCGGATGGACACACCATGTCTGCAAAGACATGCCCGGCACGTTTGAGGCCCTGTAGGAGAAAATTAAGCCGGCACCTGCGCTCGACAAGGACAAATGCCCATTTCAAACTTTGCAATCAAGTGGCGAATTGCGAAGCCACATTGGGTTGAACTTGGCACTTGCTTGACCAACCTCAAACAACTCCAGGCTTACAATGTTTTCTGCTGGATACCTTTTTATATTCACAAAGGCGATCAAACTTATGATGCAATGCGACTGACAAACATCGACAAACCACATGAGGTCATAACTGGTTGGCTCGTCGATCGCCTCCAAACAAGTTTAAACAAAATTTGACATTCTCTGACTCTACACCTCAGTCTAAAGACGGCTGTAGACTTGTTTGCAGTTGTCTATGCAGCGCAACCATAAGCGGCCGTAGCGGAAAAATGCAAACAACTGCATCTGTTGACGCAACATCTCCACCTTGATGACTTCAGGAAACATAGCAATTTGTTGCAACCTCTTCTCGATGTGTGGCTCTACAAAGCAAAATTGTTTGTGGATATTGCGTTCAATGAAGGCAAGGACCAACACCCCAGGTGACCGACATGGTGCAGCATCTTTTTGAACGGTGGCAGGGCAACACCACTTCACGCACAGAAAAAGAAGAACCACGGCCAGTCATTGCGCCGAGTTCCGCCAGAGTTACTCAGTCGTTGTCAAAATTATAGACGGAAAGGCGAGCGCGGTGTTGTACAAATTCATTACCATGTCTAACCAATGTGTCATTTGCGCGCGCGCCCCCTTGAACTTTGGTGCGTGGTTGCGCCCAATGGAACACAATGCTACGTTCTGGCTGACCGTTAACGAACAAGACCCCCACCTATCAAGTGCTTAGACAGTACACGGGCGGCCTCAGCTGCATGGGCGAGTTTTTAGAGCCCATAAGCCGAGCGTTGGCTCAGTCGGCGTGCGCAAGGGAGGGATGCACTCAGCACGATGCGGTTACTTTGGGAACCTTTCATTCAAGCCCAAGTGCAGGTGTCTTGTGTCCCCATCACCATGCGTTCTGAAAAAGTTACTTTGATTTGAGCGATCCCCGCCATGGCATTCCAATCAGTTGTTTTCATGTTGTTCTCGATTTTGTTAGTGGGTCCCCGGGTTTAGTGTTGTTGGTTTATTGTTGGGGCGTTCGCGTTGGGGCGCCGCCAAGGTCTACAGCTGGCATTCTACCCAAAGTGCTCACCTGCCATGCAAAATGCCACACGCACAGGTAACATCAGGTAACTATATTGTTGTGGTGTGTGTTGCGTTGTTATTGTTGTTGTTGTTGGTGGTGGTGGTGGTGGTGGTGGTATGAAAACTTGACACCAGGTTCAACCCCAGAAGAAACACTTGTACGCTTCTTGACTTGTGAAGTTGACCTAGTCGTGAACAATGTTCCCACGACCAACCGTCCCAGCAGCCGCGCAAGTTTCTTTTGCGATTTGAGCCACGGTCAACGCCGTGAGTGTTCAGCGAATGCTCGAACGGATGTTCGAGCTGCGCGAATGCTCATGTACATCTTTCTCGATTTGCGCGTGTCATCCACGCTCTAAAAACCTGCCAAAAACAACGTCTATGGCTGCAGCACTTGGAACCGAATTCGAACGGCCATCGAACCATCGAACTGCGTTTGCCCCCCCACAAATCTGCTTCGAAGGTATGCCAATGTATGCCACAAGTTAAGCTCTTTTACTATCAAGCTGGAGCGAAACAAGAAAAGGTTATGCGACTCTTGCCGTTTATTTCAAGATCTAGCTCATGGCCTCAGGTTCAATGGCACTGCTTGCAAAGTTCAAAGAAGATCCTATTGCTAGGAATGCTCGTACATTCGCCGGGCATGTGGACATGCTTAGAAAACTTGACTCTCCATCCGCGGGCCAGGCGCAAATCGGACAAGGTGTCACCTTGTGAATGGTCTGCCGTTCACCCCGCTCCACGATCATTCTGCACGTGGCTTCATGCAAACGTGTGCCTGACTTCACACGCATCCAGTACTCACTTGGATTGATCAGCTGGACAGGAGGCTCCAGAATCTCGGCATCATTCTGTACCTCCTGTTCGGCCTGATTGACCTGGTTGGGCTCAACCAGATCCCACATCTCACTCATGCGCTGACGGGACGGGCGCCTTCAGTCCAGCTGAGGCGCTGCGCCCACCTCCGCTTGTCCTCACGCACAGTGATTTCGATGCTCACTGGTGAAGGGCTGTCAACGTGCACGAGTCCCATCTCGAATCGGCAAGGCTCGACATGCAAAAAATGAATGTCCAATCCCTTAAGGAAAAGTGGCGTGTATTATCCTGAGCAGTGTATTATCCCTTTAGGATCTGACTGCCAATATTTGGTAACACAACTCAAAATGATTCTACGATTCTCAATGCCCTTTAAACACTTGTATGGGCAGTATTTTGAACAAGTGATGTTCGACGAAAGCTTTTGATGCATGTCATGAGTTGATGGAATTAAGACGTTTGTGCTCAAGTGCATGTCGCATGCAAGTCCAAGGTCGCATCGACCGATCCTGAACCATGCGCTGACAAAAGAGCGTTCACGGATGTCCATCGATCGATTCAACCCCCGCGGTGGTCTTTTCGAGATCTCATCAATTAAAGCTCTATCCATACCTTATGGGTGCTGTGAGGCAAACCATTTGACGATCGCAGCTGCCAACCTCTTAGGATATTGCACAAGCTTCGACAAATCTTGATCATTCAACCCTTGATGAACCTCGCACTTGCAAACCCTCGGCATGAACATGGAACAGCAGCTGGCAAAACGATACTGGTGCAAAGCAGATACTTCTTCATCTTCAACATACGCGCATCTTGCTACGTCCGTGATGAACCGCAAACCATGAAATCGGCAGAACGCCTGGACCGACTCGCTGTTCTTCCAGTATGAACACTTTTGTGACATCTCAAGGACTTTGAACTCACATTCGCTTATGATTGGATGGCTTTCGAGAAGCAAGCCCTCAAAGTCTTCAGGTGTCCTTCCTGGATCTCCCCTCGTCGCGGCTCTGGAATCAAGTTCAGGACTGGTGACCCACCAGTGCATGGTGGTGAAGTCCATCCAAGAAACAAAGCTTCATGTCGAACTTTCTTGATCTCAACAATCCATGAAAGCAACGGTTTGTGAACACAACGCAAATAAACCTCTTTAGTAACTGGTACGACAACGCAATGGCTCGACTTGAGAGCACTTGTTCCCTGAGACAACCCTGCATGCATGTTAGTGCACAGCTCGATGATGATATGGGTCACCTTTCCGGCTTTGACGTCCGAACCGACGAGTTGCAAAAAGCTTTCAAAGTCTTCAAGACCTCCACCCGACAAACCCTTCGTTGCCGATAAAGCTGAAAGGTCCTCAACACACGGATCTTCATCTTGGACATCACTGGTCTGCGCGTCAGACCTTTTGGATTGCTTCTTGAGCTCTTCGGTTGTGATCACTTGCCATTCCTCTCGACCTAACACTTCAACTATTCCAAGTTGACTCCGGCGATAGTCATTGATCTCCTTTGACAACACTTTCGTCAAAAGATCAGCGGTGCACTTCGCACCCGGCATCCATTCCAACACCAGATTTCCTATGTCCTTCAGTGACTGGATGTAGCAAACAGCAATTGACATGTGTCGAACTCTATGGCTCAAACCTTGGTTGTTAAGGGCTCCCAAACATGACTGTGAATCCGAGAAAACCAGGATGGGATAGTGACCACCAATGTGTCCAAGGTCATCAAAACTCAAATCCAAGAACTCTTTCGTGGACATCTTTAACAACATGTTCTTGTTCCCAAACCTTTCCAGGAATTCGGTGATATGGCGGATTCCTAAACATTCTTGAGTCAGTTGGCAAACAGCAATGATTTCAGCTTCACATGATGATAGAGTTACACACCCTTGCAATCGGCTGTATGCCTTTACCAAAGACCCTTGCCAGAAAATCACACTTCCACTTGTGGATCGACGGCGCTCCAAGTCACTCGAACCCCATGATGCATCGCTCACGCCAGTCAGGCCACCGTACTCAGGCAACACTTCATTCTTCCCTGATGGAAAACGCTGAAACACATGCAATTGGCTACGAACATACCTGAGAGACTTACATGCAAATTGCTTGGCGTTCCCTGGCCAGTGGCGAGAATGGACAAAAAGCCTGCTTGATCTGGCCTCGACTGTGCCCACCAAGACAACTTACCGATGACCCTCTTGTATCGGGCAGCTGCTTCATCCGACAATGGTTGAACACAATTGTGATCTTTGACACCTTTCTCCAAGACTTGCAAAAGATCAGGTGGTGTGTCAGATGACTTGGGACCGCAACAAAAGGGATCACTCATGAACAAACCCTTCAAATACTCTGGTGGCACACGCAGCAAAATATCGCTCGACCCGACTGGTCGCACAATGTGTTGGCCAAGCGTTCCAGTGGTCTTCACCTTGAGTTTTTCCTGCAATGCTTCACGAACATCCGAGACCCCCTTCAGGGAGATGGAACCTACCAACGAGTCATCAACATAAATCACGACAATGACGCGGGGGCCTGGTTTCTTTGAGAGGCCACGCATGATCCTTGGCTCGGACATGCAGGTGACAAGATCCACCTTCTCAGTCAGGATTCGTGAGCAAGTCTGGAGCCAGCTCTTGGATGCTACCCGCAAACCATTCATGGACTTGTTCAAACCTAGGTAGACTGCTTCATAGTACGTGCTCTCGAACGAACAGTCCGCTGGAAGCCTGACTATCTCTCGAATCCCTCAGGAATTCAGTGGAATTGTCTAACCCTGCGAGGTGCATGTCATGGTGCTGGATCATGCTCGAGAAACATCGAAAAGCTTCGATGCTGGGTGTTGTGCTCGAAATTCCCAAGCTTTGAGCAGAACCACCACCACTTGCGATTTCTTGTGCAATGCACCGAGCTCGGTATTGTCCAGCAACACCTTCAACGGTCGACGGTCTCTGAAGTCAGGATCCACCGGCGTGGAATGATTTTGATCTTGAGATCTTTGGCAAGCATTCATCTGACCTCATCGGACGACCGACATATGTGTATATATAAGGTGTCCATGGCTTTCAGCTCGATCATCCTTCCGGACTTGACCAGCTCAGGTTCAAAGCGACACAGGCCATCTTCGGAGATACCCAATGACGGCTCAACCAAGTGGATCACAGTTCCACAAAATTCCATGGGCTGACTTTGCAATGGTCCTGAATCTGTATTTGGAACATACATGGGACAGAGCAAACCATTTCGACCGGACTGATGAAACAGAGCTTCCGGC